AGCGGCCGCCATGTTGTGGCAGCTGCCCCCTGAGGCACAGTGGCCGCCATGTTGTGGCAGCTACACCTTGAGGTGCGGAGGCCACCATGTTGTGTCGTTTGCCCCCTGAGGCGCAGCGGCCGCCATGTTTTGTCGTTCGGCCCCTGAGGCACAGTGGCCGCCATGTTGTGGCAGCTGCCCCCTGAGGCGCAGCGGCCACCATGTTGTGGCAGCTGCCCCCTGAGGCGCAGCGGCCACCATGTTGTGGCAGCTATACCCTGAGGTTCGGAGGCCGCCATGTTGTGTCGTTCGCCCCCTGAGGTGCAGCGGCCGCCATGTTGTGGCAGCTACACCTTGAGGTGCGGAGGCCACCATGTTGTGTCGTTTGCCCCCTGAGGCGCAGCGGCCGCCATGTTTTGTCGTTCGGCCCCTGAGGCACAGTGGCCGCCATGTTGTGGCAGCTGCCCCCTGAGGCGCAGCGGCCACCATGTTGTGGCAGCTGCCCCCTGAGGCGCAGCGGCCACCATGTTGTGGCAGCTATACCCTGAGGTTCGGAGGCCGCCATGTTGTGTCGTTCGCCCCCTGAGGTGCAGCGGCCGCCATGTTGTGGCAGCTACACCCTGAGGTGCGGAGGCCACCATGTTGTGTCATTTGCCCCCTGAGGTGCAGCGGCCGCCATGTTGTGGCAGCTGCCCCCTGAGGCGCATCAGCCGCCATGTTGTGGCAGCTGCCCCCTGAGGCGCAGCGGCTGCCATGTTGTGGCAGCTGCCCCCTGAGGTGCGGTGGCTGCCATGTTGTGTCGTTCGCCCCCTGAGGCGCAGCGGCCACCATGTTGTGGCAGCTGCCCCCTGAGACACGACAGCCGCTATTTTGTGGCAGCAGCCCCTGAGGTGTGGTGGCTGCCCGGGATGGGGCAACGCCTGGAGGCACCAGATGTTTCAATACATTCAGCCTTGACTGGATCCATTGTCATCGAAGGTAACATGTTTTTAGGTTTAAAAACAAAAAAATTGGCTATGATGGGCATAGTAGAGGCTTTTAGGAGACTGATAGGCAGTCGTGCCTGGTTTTGGGTGCTGGGCAGCACTGTGCCTTAGGTCCAGCAAGCTGTGGAGAACAAGTACTCATTGTCATGTCTGAAAATGTAGATGAGGAGCTTTTCTGTGGTAAATATATCAGACTTGAGTCCTGTGTGTTGATGTGTCTTTAAAGCAGCTCAGGAGGTTTTAGATTTTCCAGGACCTTTTTCCTCCCTGCCTCCCCCCATTTGTTTACTGCTGGAAGCATGCCCTTTCTTATTTCAGGATCTGATACCTAACAGGCTCAATCATAGGACCAGAGACCTTTGGCCCTTGAATCCTCAGAGGTGTCTCCTCATCTGCTTTCGAATGGCAGGCATCAGCTCAGAGGGCTCAGTGAACAGTGTCCCCTGGCCCTTTGCAACAGGGAGCCTGTGGGTGTTCAGCCTTTTCCTCATTCAAATCCATATGCTCATTCCCGCTGCTGTACCGAAGTTTGAGGAGCCAAAATGCATTTACTGAAGCAGCAGTGCTATGGGAGCTTGAGCCTGTTGCTGCCACACTCAGTGTCTTCTTCACATAACAGGTCATATCTCAGGAGCTAGAAAGGTGACAAGGAAAGGCAAGATCATGCTGGTCAGTCAAAATAATATGATAATGGGTTTAGGGGGGTATCCCACAAAATCACAGTGGTCAGCAATGAGGATTGGAGGTTGCCAGAGTTCAATTGGTGTTCTTCATCAGAAACTTTTAGCTATAAATCTGTTGGTGATTAATCTGTCCTCTTTAGGTTCCAGTTGTAGATGATGAAAACAAAATGCAGTTATTTGCATCCTTGTCTCCTTTTTCTCTTTCTTGAGGGGCAGACTCATGAGAAATGTATTTTTGCAAGGACCTCTGGCCTTAGCAGGGGAATCAAACTACCAGTGCTGTGAGTCACTCCACCTTCTTAGTGAAACACAGATTAATGCTGAAGCAAAACCAGCTCAAATAGAGCACTAGGATACCTGAGTTCAGGATACCTGAACAGGAAATAGTTCAGCCTTGTTTACAAAGGATGAGAGGTTCAAGTCATACCTAAACTTGGCATGAGTTGCAGAGGAGGTGATCAGGCTGGCTGATCCCGTCTGGTGTGAGGATTTGTGAGTCTGCATGGAAGCCAACAGGCGTCTTTACTGTGACTCCAACTGGGCTTGGAGTGAGCCAAGCAGGCAGGTGTCCATTTTCAGTAAGAATCATGTCAAAACTTGCAGTGACTGGCAAAGTGACAGCATTGGCCAGGATTGGCCAAAACCTGAGCTCCCTGCTGCACTCCCAGGACGTTTTTCTAAGCTGGACCAGTCAGGAAACATACCATCCTGCAAAATATGTTATTGTTCTGCCTTTTTCATTCAAATTTGAATTAAAAAATAAAACCCCAAATTAATATACCAGAACATTAGATTTGGTCAGTCAGGTTTCTATGTTCTAGTAAATTAGAAACCTTTTGATTTATTTTCATAATCTTTTTTGCAAGGGTTAACATGGCAGTTTCTCCAGCAGATAAATAGATGTTGCAATATGGTGGAAGCCATGGGACTGGATAAGGACACTCTGGCTTGTCAAAATACTTGCCATAATTTGTCATTTCAGTTGGATAAACCAACCAACCAAAGTACAGTGCTTCTAGGGTAGTTCACAGTTATCAACAACAAAACTTTGTCCTTTTATCCTCTTAGGCTTTTTTTGGGAGTTATTTTGTTTGTTTGTTTTTTATTAAAACTTTGGAATGAAGATTTCCTGCTGAGTTTGAGCATGTGTGTCATTTCAGTGCCATGCTGAATTAGGGCCCTTTCAGGTAGACTTGCTGTTCAGCAGTAAATAAGACATAAACTAAAAATAGAAAACATGGTTATAAGTGACAAAAATTGGCAGGGAGGACTTGGTCAGATGCAGTTTTGGAACTGCTTTTAATTTTTTTCAACTCAATTTGGAGTTAAACATCCCTTTAAATTAATTAGAGCAATCATAATATCCCTAGGATATCAGTGGAGAAATTGAAACCATGAGTATAATTTTCATATTTCCTAAATTCTGAAGAGAAGCTAAAAAAAAACAGCTTAAGGAAATTTTTGCATACGATGAAAAACAGATTCCTGACCAGACTGGCTAAGCTGAAATGTCTGAAAGCAAAGAGCTCTCATGAAAGTGCTGGAAAGCTTCTAATTGTAATGGGATCAGTGTCCCAGGGTATAATGTAGCTCTACATTTAATATTGAGCTACTGAACCATACTTTTCAACCTAGCTTAACTCACTGGGTGCTCATCAAAGTCCTGTAATGACACTGTGCTCTGTTTAGATGCCAAGCAAGTCTTGAAATAGCTCCACAGCTTTTTCAGCAGCTTCAGCTGAGCACAGACATCTGACTTCAGAAGGATGACTAGTGCCTAGTTTGTGATATATAAATCCTTCCCTAGGTATACTGCCACACTTGTTAATAATCTTACGAACTTTTATAAACCTAATTAAAAGGTTCTTGCACACTTACGTATGAAATCATGGCAAGCAGCACTGAAACGGGCAAAAGCCCGTTGTTTGTGCTGCAAATCCATGCTGCCTTTCTTTATTAATGATACATACACAACACATGTAATTAGATGCCTGCTATTGTTTGCCTGTTTGTTTTTATTACGATATTGACTGGAGTCCCCATCATGTTACTTATAGTCTCTGCATGTTACTCTAAGCAGAATTTTCCTTTCTGTGTATGGTTCCCTTTGCCAAAGGGAAGAAAAAAGTGCATACATCCACTTAAGCACACAAGTAGTTATATCAATTTCTGTCCATTAAATATACATACACACATAAATATAGATGTGTACAGTGGTTGCAGGCTGTTTCAGGCATAGATTTAGGTGAGATTTGAAAACTGTATTTGAAAGGTCCTGTTTCTGGGGGCACCTCTGGACAGGAGCATCCCTCAGCCTGCATGAAGTCCTTCTGAGGATTGTGGGGCTCTGTGAGTGTTGAAACAACACATCTCAAAGGCTTTTGAAGATTTCTAGGCCATTTATTTAAATTTCTTAGAATGAACTTTGTTTTGTAAAAGAGCATACCTTTAAATCTTTTTTTTTTTTTTCTTTCAAAAAAGTCTTATTTCTGTTAATCTTCTGGACTTTGAAAAACTGTTTCTAGTTATTGGGGCTTTAGATATTTTTTGTCTTCACAACCCAGGCAATCAGTTCCTGAGTATGAGCAGGGTGGTTATTGAGTAGTTCGTCTAAAGCAAACAAAGATTTTAGCCAACCCAAAGATGCAGCAATCATTTTGCTAAAGGTTTTGATCAAAGTCTAGGTTATATAGCATGTATGGTTCCAGCACTTCGAAATGAAACTTGAAGTTGAATCTTTGCAAATGTTCAGTGATTGATTTAATTTAGAAGTACAAAAGTGGGTGTTAATACATACGTGCTTTGTCTTTATTTATTCTTCCAAAATTATCCCTCCATTTCAACCATATGTTCCTGTTCAATGGTGAGCTCTTCCAGAGGGGTGTCTCTTACACCATGTTGTGTCCTTTCAGTCTCACCCTGAAATACCCTGTACAACAGCAAGTTACTTGCAGACAGGCAGTCTTACCTGAACTGTGGCATTGCCCCAGTGGATTCTGCTCATGTCCCGCAGAGGCCTTTGACCTGTTCTCTGCTTTGAGTTCTGCAGTCATCCTTTTGTCCATCTTCAATACTTCACTGTGGATATCTGCTCAAGTTTAATAAAACTGAGAAGAATGGCAACCTATTTGTTTTCTACTTTTCAAACATGTATCTCTAATAAACTCAGTTAAATTGAAACAAAATGTGCTTTAAATCAGTAAGTTGAAACAGAATTTGTCTTCTGAAGTTGCTTTTTTTTCCTTAATCTCATCTTTCCATCATCTCATACTTAAGGAATCCACTGTATGAGAAATTTAGAACAATTAAAAATGGACTGTCCTAATGTGTTTGTTTCATTTTTGCCTTTCAGTCCATCCGAGAAGTCACAGGCTATGTTTTGGTGGCTTTGAATCAGTTTGAATACCTGCCATTGGAGAACCTGCGCATCATTCGTGGGACCAAGCTCTATGAAGAGCGATATGCTCTGGCGATATTTCTTAACTACAGAAAGGATGGTAACTTTGGACTCAGGGAACTTGGCTTGAAGAACTTGACAGGTAAGTGCAACTTGCAAATGTGATGGATTAGTCACAAGAAAAAAAACCCCAAGCTTGTTGAGTCAGTGCCCTCAGTCACTTGCATTCTGCAAATAACAGAGGTACCACTGTTGCAGGTTAAACTTCTAGAATAATGTAGCAATGTTATGCTTAGGTCAAGAAAGATCTTCTTTGTATTTGTTAAAGCCAACAGCATCCCTAATCAGAAGAACGAGTAGATAGCCTTCTTTGAGCAAGGACATCCTGGAGCAATTAGACCTTGAAGAGGGTACATTGCCAACTTGGCAAGCAAACTCAAGGTCCCTGTATCCTTAGCTGAACTACCCTAATAGTAAAAATCACGCCTACAGATCAAGAAGACCCTTGTTCAGGTGAAGACCCTTCCCCTGAGCATGTGTAATAGTAGAAGTATTGTGTCACTGGTATTATAATTGTATGTAAATTACTACCCAATCATCATAGAGAGGATGAACTTGGCAAATTACTAACCCTGCAGGTTTTGTGTATAAATATAGCACTGAAAGCCTTGTTTGGTGTGCTGGCTTTGTGGAATTGCCACCTAGCACCCACCTCTGCACAGACATGAAATAAAAGAAGTACTTCAACCCTGTGTGTACTGGCTTGCATACCGGGTGAAAGAACCCTTCTTTTGGGATAATACCACGAGAGCCTGGCATTGTACTTTTTGGGGCTCACAACTGTACGTTCTTAATACTAATGAAAGGCTGTGTATGAAAGTCATGCCAGGAGAGTATTTGAAACAGAAATCGGTGTTGAAAGACTAGATGAACTTTTTTCTTAATTTTGACATCATAAGCACGTTGGTTTCCTTGTGATCCTGGGTTATTGCGCGTGTGCTGCTTCAGGTGTTACGTATTTCCTGCCAGGTTAGCTTAGCTTTGGCATCCCATGTGCCTCTGCTCTTGCTGCTGTGTCACCATTGCTGCCGCACTGTGGGGTGGGAGGGAGAGACTGTATCTTTGGTGTATTTAATTTTAGAACTTCCTTTTCTAAGCAAAAATAGTACATTATACATAGTGAGAAAAGTGCTTATTTTCTTGAGACAAAAATGTAAGCCAAGCCTGTGGTTTTATGTTCATCTGTAAATTCAGGGTTGGATCATGATGTGGGGGTAGATCAACGTTTGATTTCTCCCAGATGAGACTCTACAGTCAGTGGCTTGGGAGATTAAAAATTGTATAAATATCACTGGACTGTAATTTAATAAAGTGCAAGCAGTGGCAAACTCTTTTTAGGGAGTTCACTGGAAGTATTTTATTAATACCTGGTTCCTCATCAGCTATGATTGTTTCTACCCTAAGCTTTGGTGATTGTGAAATGACCTTATTTCTGCTAGTGGCTAAATGCTGACTGAAAATCATTGACCTGAACTGGATGTGGAGTTTGTACCTGAGTACAAGGTGGGAGCCTTCTGAACTATATTTAGGCACCCTTCACTGATTTCTTTGTGTCTAAGTATTCAGAATGGCACACAAGTGCTTGCAGTTCCCTGTTGTTCAAGCCTCGCTGGGCTGTACAGCCAGGCTCTCAAAAACAGGAGGGAAAAGGAAGCTTGAAATACTTTACAAAATAAAACAGTTTTGGCAGACACTTTCTGCTTAGGCTCTTTCTCTTGGTCACATTTTTAACCATTTTCTTTACTGAGACCATCATGCTGATATCAGGGTGCTTCCCAAGGTCTCTAAATCCTGGCCATCTAATACTTTTCTCTCTCCCACTGTGCTAATCCAATTTCCTCCTCTTCTGTTCCCATATTTCTTCCCATCTTTCCGATTTAGGGTGTTCATTGTGACTGTCTAGGCCTTCACACAATACAGAGCCATAGCATCAGGTAATAATAATATCATCTGTTTCTTCATATACTTTTTCTTGTCTTTGGATCTCCAAATGTTTTGTAAAAGACATTAGGCTGGGTGAAACTGAGACAGAAAGTTGATGTGAGGCCAAGGCCAGAGAAGGACTGGAACTCTTTCCTCATGGGTCTGAGACTGCTATTCTGCCAGGAAGTGAGGGTTGTATTTTCAGTGCTTGTTTAGCCATGGCTTTGCTGCTCAGTAAGGTAAAAAAGCTTATCTTGTAGGTTCCGGCTCAAGATTTTCTTCCTGAATCATCTGGCCAGCACCAATAGGTGGTTTGTCTGACTCCAGAGGTTCTGCCTGGAAGCCGCTTTTACATAATAGGCACAGCACCAAAACTGCCCAGCAGATAGCTTGACTTTCTTTTTAAATGTCATAAGAAAACCTGCCTTAGCTCAGCCTCCGAATCTTTCCTAACATGAGATCATCACAGCCACTTCATCTGATTTAGGTGTTTACAAAGGCCTGTGATGGGATTATTTGGCTCAAAATGTATTGTTGTCTCTTGGAAGAAAAGTGCCCTAATAACACTAGCTTGTCTCCACTGAGCACTTAAAATAGCTTCTGGGTGCTGAATATGAGCCAGTGTGTGCTTCAAAATACTCTTAATATTTTCTAGATAGCACATGCCTGGGCCTCGCGAGTCTCTTCAGCAGCTGTTCTTTGACCGTTTTGTGTGCTGGTTAAGATGCACCTGGCTATTTTAACCCACAACCTGCTTCTTGTTGCATATGCTCTTCCTGAAGCATATTAATACTTAATTTATTTTCATAACACATCCTTAGCATTAGTAGCTGCATAAAAATAACTGGTGGATGTGGGAGTTGGTGATGTTGCAAGGCTGTGATAGATCAGCTGTGTCTGAACCTATCCTGTGTCTACCAACTGTTCCATATTCACATCAGAAATAACCAGTGATTTGTTATTAAATTTAAGAGGAAGCGGCCCCTGTGAGCTGGCATCCTTCAAACTTCTACTCCACTGCAGATTTTAAGAGATTGGCTTTGAATGGTGCATCTCTTCCACTTAAGTAAAATATAAACATGACTCCTGCCTTGCATATGAAGAACTGTCTTTCCAGGGCTTATGCCTTGTTCACAGAAGTTTGGGAAGTTCTGTTCTTATTTGTGCAATGTCTCGATGATGGAATCCTGAGGGTATTTCTGCCCAGTACTGCACAATATACAAATACTAACTCTATTCTCTGTGTTAAATAAATGAGGAAGCTGCTCTCCCCTGCAGATTATCCTCATACTTAATCAGAGACAGGGTTTCAGCCTCCTGTGCATTATTTTCAGTGAGTTGTTAGCAGCTGTGTTTTTATTGCCAGATATGTCTATCAGGTTTTCATATTTAAATGTAACTTTAAATGCTTGAATTTCCTCCCTTATACTATAAAAAAGTGACAGCTATGAAGGCAGTAAGTTTTATCTCACATAGAAAACGTGATCCAATTCTCACTCATGATGTCTGTCAACCTGAAAGGGAGTTTTGTTTGTGTAGCGCAGGCCAGGACTATGTCCTAAAATTCATGTGACACTTGCAAAAACTCTTACCTATAAAAATCCTCATCTCACTTGTTATAAAAACTTAGTCAATGGTTCCACATAAATGTCAAAACCAAACAGACATTGAACTAATTAAGTGGCTGCTGCCATCTCAGCTGGATTCATCTCATCTTGCAGATTCAGCTGCCAAGTAGCCTTAAAGTAAAATGGAAGGTTTGACATACTGAACACATTACTCAGCCTGAGATTAGCAGAATAACCGATGCTGAGGGAGAAGGTATGCCACCTTCTTCCGTTCATTGCCTGGGAGCTAGTGCAAATCATTCCTGTCTTCCCCAGGTAGCTAGGCAGTCAACCTTAACTTATCCAATGAAAGGGCATAATCATTGTTCACACTTTGAGTACTCCAAATATAGAGAATACCTGATGGCTGCATTTCATTACAGCATTTATCTTTGTGAGTGGGGAAAGAGGGATAACTCACAAGTGCCAAAACCACTTATGAAGTATCCCATATTTTCTTCTGAGTGAAGATGAATAGGAGAGATCTACAGCAAATGATGTATCTTTGACTGAGCAGTGATAACCTCATCTCCCTTGTTGGCCTTGGGGACAGAGGTTCCCTTGCATGTGCCTGTGCAACCCTGGAATTCCTTTAATATATTAGATGAAAATGGATTTAGCAGTGATTACTTCAGTAACACAAAAAAGTAGCAGAATCTGTAGTTTCTTATTTGCTTGTTTTGCAGGAGTACAGATAAATGATAAATTAAGATAACTGAAGTTCAAGTGACATCTATATGGTAGCTGAAAGGATTTGGTCAGTGATAGCCAAAGAAAGAAAATCTAATTTGATGGTCAGGAGAATCATAGGAAAAGGACCATCTTCACTGGGTGTGCAAAGGGATCCATTGCAAATTTCCCCTTCTACAGACTTTTATCATAGGCTTTAATTTTTAAAGTTTTGATTGAATTTATTTTTAATTGTCTGTAAAACAAAATTTTAAGTTCTGTGATAACTTCTGTAACATTTTTGGTATTTTTTTTCCCCCCACAAGAAATCAAAAATGTTAATGGGTGCTTTTGGGGGGGTAAGAATTGCATCTCTTACAAAAAAGGTTGCATTTCAGCCCTTCAACGAGTTTCCTGGTTTGTTTGTTTGTTTAATTTTTTTACAAGGACTGCTCATTTACTATAATTACATTGCAGCTCGATCAGGTTGGAGGGAAGGGCATGGGAAGAGTCGATTTCTCTTTCAGTTTTGTTCACTGTGCACATTTTGGACCTACAGCTCTTTTGGAAATCTTATTTAGATACCCGCTCAGGACCTGAGCTCCTTCAGCCCTCTGTGGCTGCATATAAACCATTTTTGCAGCAAGGATTAAGGCCTCCCCCTTTTTACTGCCTTGCTCACAAAGCCCTTAGCCTGTGTCAGTGGGCCACACACGCGCTGCACAAGCCCCTGCTGAGTTCACGGCGTTCGGAGATGCGAATGCCTGTGTGTGACACCCAGGCTGAGTGGATGAGACCGGGGTATGCTGATCGTGGCATATTTCTTAATCGCTGAGGTTTCATACTAGTGGGGTGAGCTGGGAAGAAAGCAATATGTAACTTG